GATGTGCACACAGGGATGCTGTGAGCTGTGCTCTTCCTAGAGGACCATCGCACTGCTCTAGCTGAGACCTGTAAGCAGTATAGTAAAAGTGGACATAATGTGCATGTTTGTCTCCTTCATGATTTTGAAGGAAATGTTTTCAGCTTTTCCTCACTTAATACATATTGCCTATAAATTAATGCATAGGTTTATAATATTGAAATATGTTCTTTTTATTCCTAGTTTGTTACTTTTATTGTGAAGGGAATTGTGAACTTTGTCAAGGGTTTTTTTTTTTAATGTTTTTTGATGTGATCATGTGTTTTTTTTATTTTTTAACTTAATCTTTTATATTTATTGTATATATTGATCCAGCTTTCCTTCCCTAGGCTGAAATCAAGTTGGTCATGATATATGATCTTTTAATGTGTTTTAAAATTTTTCTCTAAATTTATGTGTATGGGTGTTTTTCTTGTATCTGTACTGTGTGTATAGTCCATGCCTACAGAGGTCTTGTTCCCTGGAACTGGACTTACAGACACTTGTGATCCACCTTATAAAGCAGTGTTTCTCAACATTCCTAAGGCTGTGACCCTTTAATACAGTTCCTTGTGTTATGATGATCCCCAACCATGAATAATCTCGTTGCTACTTTATAATTTTAAAATTGCTCTTGTAATTACCTGCTATGCAGGATATCTGATATGCAACCCCAAAGTGGTCAAGACCCACATGTTGAAAACCACTGCTACAGAGGCAGGGACCCAAACCTGGGTCTTCTGCAAGCTTAGTGAGTGCTCTTAACCACTGAGCAAGCTCCCTTACTGTGTTCTTGTTGAGAAGCTTTGTATTTATACTCATCAGTCCTGCAGCCCATCTTTCTTTCCTCTTTTCTGTGTCATAATCTGTTTTGGTGTCCTGGTAATGCTAGCTTCATAGGATGAGTTTGATGACCCTTCACTTTCTAGCCATGTAATGGTGTAATGTGAGGACTGTTCCTGTTTTACAGTTTGAGGGATGTTCTGTTTGCTCTTTCTCAAAGGTTTGGCAGAACCTAACAGTGAGTTCGTTATTTCTGGGATTTTACTTTGTGAAACTTTTGATTACTGTTCCAGTCTCAGTTGGTATGGATCTGTTTAAGTTGTTGATATCATCTTGATTTAACCTTAGGTTTTGTGTCTACAAATTTCTACATTTCTTACAGATTATTTAGGTTTGGGGTATTTATGTTTCAAAATACTCCCGAACAAGCCTCTGGATTTCATTGGAATCTGTTGTAACATTTTCTCTTTATTTCTGATTTCATTAAATTTTGTCTTTCTCTAATTTGGCTAAGAGTTTGTCAGTATCATTTACCTTCTTAAGGAACCACTTTTTTGTTTGATTTCATTTATTGTTCTTTAATCTCCATTTCATTCATTTTTGCCCTAGTCTTTATTATTTCTGGCTGCCTTGTTCTTATTTTATGACTCAACGTACATCATTACGTTATTCATTTAAGATCTCTTTTCCAGTGTGAGCACTCGTAGCTGTAAACTTTGGTCTTAGGAAGTTATATCACTTGATTATATAACAAAAGTTCTGGGAAGTTGGTTTGTAATTTTCATTTGCTTCTATAAAAATTTTAAATATTCACATTAAGTCCTTAGTGACCTACTGGTCATCAAGAATGTATATTTCAATCTCCAAGTATTTGTGTAGTTTCTTTATCTTCTGTTGTTGATCTAATTTTGGTTCACTGTTGCCTGACGAGATTCAAGAGGTTGTTTCTGTTGTTTCACATTTAAATTTTTCTCTGTGACCTAGAATTAATCTATTTTAGCGATGGTTACATGAACTGAGAAGAATATGTATTCTGTTTCTATTGGATGGCATATTCCTAGGTATTCTACTTGATTGATGATGTAGTTTAACTCTGAAGTATTTGTTCAATACAATCTGTGCATATATATTTAAATTTGTTACATCTTCTTGACCAGTTATTCCCTTTTGTGTGCAGCAATTTCTTCCAACTGAGAATAATCCTGGAGTTGATAGCTCCAAGCTTGGGCCCATCTGTATGCCTTTCACTACTGTAGATTCAGAAAGCTTTGGTGATTCAGCCAAAAACTCAAGCATCTATATCCTTCCAGCTCCATACACCCATTGTGTTTGGGAGACACCCTTCAGATTGAACCATGCTGCCCCAGAGAAGGATGTGTGATCTGGGGAGTTTGGGGAAAGTGGGGGGAAACTGCCTAGCTGATGGACTATGAAGCTAAGCGGACCTGCCTGCCATGCTTAGCTTTCTTTACCGTAGCTGGCAGTCTCTTTCCTCTGGAACTCCGAGCCTTCTGGGGCTTCCCATGGGTGAACACATTTTCCATGTGTTGCCCATCGTTTTCTTAGCCCTCTGGGCTGTTATATCAGCAGTTTGTATATTTCTGAAGCTCCTTTTTTGCATTGGAATAGAGTCTGTCCTTGCACTTATTTTCCTTCTTAACACACCATCTTATTTGGAAGGTGACAAAGCTAACATTGTACTGCCCTCTGCAAAGCATCACCTGATAAGCAGCCTGTCCAGGGGAATGGACTAGTTAGCTTCTAAAACTCCAACACATAGACAATAATAACAGGTTCCAACAGTGCAAATGATCATGCTTGGAGATTGTTGAAGGCCCCAAGCAGCCAGAGGAAGTAGTCTGCCTGTAGTTGTCTGTATCATTTAGGTACACTTCGTAGAAAGCTAAGGCTTTTTCCTTACTATTTGACCATAGATCTTTTTCTTGAAAAGACAGGTTTGGCAGTGTTCTTTCACTTTTTAATTTACTGTATCAAAATTTACTTCTATTAATCCTACCATCTTTCAAAGCAATGTACCAGGTGTTGTAATTAGATACAAAGATTAGGTCTAATGGGGAAAGTGGAAACGATTAATTTTCTAACAAGACACAAAGCAGAAAAGTGAGCATTAAAAGAAAAACAAAGTGTTCAGTTAGCACAGTTGTAACCTTTCCTGCACTGTGAATATGTTATAAGCAGTAACTATTTATTTTATTTCATATTTTTGTGGGAAACAGAGAACATCAAAAGAGGATTTCATGGTAAAGGAACCTACGCTTTGGCTAGGAGGCACAGGGTAGAAGCAGAAAGGTGGGTCCCAGTAACCATCAAGTCACTCCACAGGTGCCCAGAGTCACAGGCATGTGGAGCGTTGGGGAATATACAGGATCCAAACTGTAACATTGTATCCCTGCCCTCAACAGTCTCACCAGCATCTGCCTTGGACGCTGCCTCCTACTGAGAAACTTCTTTGTTTTCTCTGACAGCTGCCCTATCCTCCTTCCTGATTTCTCAGGCCCTGTTCTCAGCTTCCTTTTCTAGATGCTCCTCTTGTACTTGCTAAGTACCCTTTTCATCTAACTGTTTTGCCTGTCCCAGCAATCTTTTCCAGTCCTGTGGTTTTAGATGCTGTTGTCTTTTATGCCAACAATGCTCAAATCCTCCTAATGCCAGGCTTACCCACTTCAATGACCAAAACATGACTTGCACTTTCACTACATATAAAACCTGTTTCTTCTGTCATTGACACTTTAGTAAATAATATGCATTTGTATTAGTAAATAATATTCATTATTTTAGTAAATAATATGTATTTGATCGAAACCGTCGTCTAGATCGGGGATCCCTTTAACCTTTAGTGCATAACCAAATGCATAGAAAATTCTTACTGCATTAAATTGTTTCTCAGGTTGCACTTACATAGTTTCTTACAAAGTGAAGGATCTTGATGCCCCGTATATAGGTTTTATGTCTTCAATATTGACTTATATAGAGGTGTGGCAGGCATGGTTCTGGAGAAGTAATTGAGAACTACATCCTGATCCATAGGCAGAGACACACAGGGCCTGGCTTAGGCTTTTGAAGCTTCAAAGTCCAGTGACATATCTCTTCCAACAAAGTCATACCTCCAAATCCTTTCAAACAGTTCCACTCCCTGGTACTAAGCATTAAAATATATGAGCCTATGCGATCTATTCTTCTTCACAGCTCCACAAAAAGTCACTATTATCCAGGGAAATATTGGAAAAGTGGACTATAGAATAAATATGGTACTGTCTTCTTGGTATTTAGAAGTCTGGTGCTCTTAAGAAATTTTATGAACAGAAGATAAAACTAGAACATCCATAAACACAGTAGACATGAATTTCCAGTCATGTGAAGAGAAAAAAGGAGAGAAAAAAAGAGAAAGAAAAGGAGTTATATGGTAAGGTAGGAAACAAGAAACTAGGAAGAGGCCTGGGTTTGGTCTTTTATATCAACCAGCTCATGTGGAAACTAAGTTCTTACCAAGACTTGGCTCACTACCTGCTTCTCCCAACATATAATCACCTCTCTTAAAGGTCCTAAGACCCCAGCTTCATTATATTGGGAATGAAGTAATGGCAAACCACACTGAATCAGAGCAGCTCTGTGTAATGCTTCTCAGGTGGTTGTTGGTGCTTTATGATGTAATGGGATGCACTGAAGAATTCAGACATCAGACTGGATCAATGATGGTCCTGCCAGCCTAAACCCTAATAGAAATAGACTGAAAAAAATTGTCCCAGACTCAGTGAATAGAAAGCATTTTATTTTTTGATTATGAATGTTAAATACATAATAAGCACATCAGGTCAAAGTTGCATTCTCTATGACCAGCTCTGTCAGCCAGCATCTCTGACATATGGGAGAAACAGTGGAGTCAAGGGAAGCGTCATTTTTAATCCAAAGTGTTCTCTTTTCACCCCGCACCCCAGCTACACTTGAGAGGACAATTTGTTCTAAACAAAATCATATTGGGAATCCAATTATTATAGTTGTCTTGTATTAAAAGTGATGTTTCTTTTTTCAAAGGTACGTCAGCCTGTTGTATGCACCAACAACCATGTGTTTTGTTCCATTTGTATCGACTTGTGGTTGAAGAATAACAGCCAATGTCCAGCCTGCAGAGTCCCTATCACTCCTGAAAACCCTTGCAAAGAGATTATTGGTATGGGACTATTCTATATGTGCATAAGAATGTGTTTAAGATAGCTTATAAATATTTGGGAGAAGACTGATAAAAAGTTCTCATTTTTACAGATCAATATCATATTGGGTTCATAGTAGATCTAGTGCAGTAGACTGTGAAGGATCCTGAAATAACCCTCAGGTCACATGCAGCTTACATTAGAGACTGCATGAGAACAGAAATATTAATGGTTTAAAGTCACAGGACCTGAGGAGGGGAGAGGGAAAGTAGAGGGTCAGAAGGTGTAGGAAAGAAGGCGAGGGACTCTCAGAGCCACTTGATGAAGTAGGTGACCTTAGGTTTTGAATGTGGGAGTTGTGTACCCAAGAGAATACTCTAGGAATGCTGTTTGGGTGGTGGTGTGTGGGCTGTACTATAGAGTAGAGACAAAATTTGGATAGTCAGAGTGGAGACTCAGGTCCAGTTAAGGATACTGTGAAGCTAATTAAGGTTTTCAAAAGAGAATTAGTGCCATGTTAGGAGAGGTAGGAGGAATTAGAAACAGGAACTAGAAATAGCACATTCAGAGAGACTGGATGTTTTATTTTTACTTCAGGGGCTACACTTTTGTTTTTCTTTAGTAAACATTAAGAGTGTGTCTAATTAGCCATAGGTGGACAATGTCTTTCAGTAAACTCATATTTTTGGTTCTGAGCCTAGCCTTTAATGGCTGAGCTATCTTTCCAACCTATCTTACAGAAAATTTAGGAAGTAGTTATAGTGATCTAAAATTAGGGGGGATTATCTTAATCACTGTTTGTGAGGAGAATGGAAAGAAAGCTACAAAGCCAAGAGCAGAGGACTGAGTGGACCTGGGATCAGAGTTGTCCCTAAAGCTTCTGTCAGGGCCACAGGGGTGAAGTCTGGCCAAAGGCTCTTCCTCTGCTACGTTGCTGCCATTGGGGTTAAACTCTCACATAGATCTATTTAAGGAGTCAGGTCTTTGTGTAAACTTGATAATTAAAGTCGTTTAATGTTTTATCGTAGCTTTCACCACATCTTTTCCTGCTTCATTCATTCCTATCTAAGATTATAGTCCTTCATCCTTTCCCTTGAAAAGATCATCCTGAAAAAAGAGAATATCTTTAAATGCATTTTTGTTGTTGTTTGGTTTTTGGGTTTTTTTTCTATAATCCTGCTAACTACAAAGGCAATAAGTCCAGGATTAGTTCGGAGCTCTCTGAATTAGTTCATATTGGATGTATTTCTCACATATGCTCACACACACACACACACACACACACACACACACACACACACAATCTTATATGTTCTGCTTACATATAAATATAGTGATTGACTTTATTATTTAACAATTGTTTTTAGATTTACTGTATTCAAAATTGATACCTTAATCCTATGTAGCCCTTTCTTCCATTGCCTTTGCTATGCTAAGATGTTTAGGTAAGTAAACACAATATGATACTTTACTGAAGATATTTCTTATGCCGTTAGTTAATATGGTCTCCTCAGGGTTAAGGAAGAGAAAGGCCTACATGACCCCCAAGTCCCCATCTTTTGCTCTGAGTCACGTATCTTTCTTTCCATCTCCATCACAGACAATTCCCCTAATTGTAGATCACTACAACTACTTCTTAAGTTTTCTGAAAAATAGTGTCCACCTTGGCTATTTAGTGTCCCATTAAATGTTTACTAAAGAAAAACCAAAGTATAGCCCCTGAAGTAAAAAATCAAACACCCAGAGTCTCCCTGAATGTGTTCTTTCCAGCTCCTGCTTGAAACTCCTCTCACCTCCTATTTGGCACTAATTTTCTTTTTTAAACCTTAATTAGCTCCATGTTATCCTTAACTGGACCCGAGTCTCCAATCTAGCTATCTAAATTTTCTTTCTTTCTGAGTTTACCCGGGAAGCTGTACAACACATATGTAGAAAGAAAAAAGCTTGTTTTCACTGTGCCCCAGCAAAGCAACACTCAGAGTTTCCCCGTAGGAGGAACAAGCGAAGGTGAGCCTATGCTGAGCCACACAGTCAGGAAGCATCTTCGCAAGACCAGGCTGGAGCTTCTCCATAAGGAGTACGAGGTAAGGGTGCCACACTTTACATTACCGCTCCAAGTGTCCGCACATCTGAGAGCCAAGGCCTAGGAAACTGGGTGGGATTTCCTCCCCTCAGGTCTTCTCTTGGGAGTTTTGGGTGGTATCAGGGATTTTGTTTCTTGAGGGCCTTGTGATACTTCTGCCTCTGCTTTCCAAGTGCAGAGATTACATACATTCACCACCATGCCCACTTTGAAACCTTTAGTGCCAGTCTACACATATTTGATAAATTCTCCCTTTTCTCTTTTAAATAGAGAAATGGTTTTATTTAAGTAAAAAATGGAAGACTAGGGTTTTAGAGAAAAGGAAGGAATGGAAAATTTTTTCTTTATTTTTCTCCCTTCTTTAAAATTACTTTTTATTTTATGATTTTTATTTTATGTCTGTGTTTTGTTTGCATGTATGCCTATGCACCACTTGAGTACCAGGTGCCTGAGGCCTGGAGAGGGACTAGCCCCTGGAACTGGAGTTACTGGAGTTGTTGTGAGCTACCTCAGTTGCCTCAGACAGTTGTTTCTAATATACTGGAGCATAAGTGATGGAATAAATGTTCTTTCCTACATATGTTTCCACAGTTGTGAATGTATAAATATATCAACATAAAGAACACAACTTCTTATGCTAGGTATGGTGGCATACACCTTTAATTCCAGTGCTTAGGAGGAACAGACAGGCAGATCACTGTGAGTTCTAGGTCTGCCTGGTCTACATACTCAGTTCAAGGACAGGCAGGACTACTGAGAGCACTGGATTCTAGTTTTATTCTCCCCTTTCATGTCACAATTGGCAGCTGCATTTCAGCAGCAGATAGGAAGGGGCATTCAGACAAGCCCTGACACTTGGAGTTACTTGGATTTACTTTCTGATAGAATTTTTAAGTTTCAGATTAAGAAAGTGCGTCCATTTTAGATGAATAAATGGTATTACATAGAAGAATTTATCCCAAATGTTTGCAATCACATTCAAGAACAACAGTTCCAGAGTAGAAAAGCAGATATTGGAAATAGCTGACTAATAGTTGAAGACCCACTGTTGGTATTATTAATCTGGGATAAAAAGTGGAGGATTTTATTTCTACCTCAGATGTAGAAGCAAAAATAAAAATATCAAACAAAATTCTGATTGACTGTTTTTACCAACACTTTTTAAATTTCTCTCTATAAAGCAATTAACATGTTTCAAATGTTCCATCTGAATTGGAATCTACTTTTTTTTAATTCATGTTTTTTTCTTAGTTTCTTGATAATACCTTAAACAAAATCAAAGGGTTGTGACATTTTTTAAAAACTATAGCTGTCTGTGAATTAAAATGTAAGCATTTTAAGTAAGTGTTATACCAATTTTTATGAGGCTCAAAATACATTTTAAGAATTTAAATTGACTTTTTCTTTACAAAACTGTTACTATATATAAAGCATCTCTGTATTATATAAACTTGAGTGTACTATTCACGAACAAGCTGACTCTGGCTTAGCATATACAAGCCATTAGGATATCTCTGACTATTGATTTCTGTGCTGTTTCAGGATGAAATAGATTGTTTGCAGAAAGAGGTAGAAGAACTTAAAAGTAAAAATCTCAACTTGGAGTCACAGATCAAGACCATTCTGGATCCTCTAGCTTTGATTCAGGGGAGTCAAAACGAAGATAAACACCCGATGGCTGATAATCCAAGTAAAACTGACCCAGAATCAGTAGTAGAATGGAAGAAAAAGCTCAGAACAGCTAATGAAATATATGAAAAAGTAAAAGATGATGTGGATAAGTTAAAAGAGGTAAGTTGTAGTCTGGAGGGAGGGGAATCTATTATGGTTAGTTTTAAAGTTCTACAATATTTTAAGTACTTTCACAAGTATAAATAGCCATATACCTTGACTCACCATTCGCTAATTTGTGAGAGCAGGACTAAACCCTGCATAAGTATTTATATGCAGTAGGAAGCTATTCTCATTAGTGGTCATTAGCTGCCAAGAAGTATCAGGTGGTTGCATTTGTGACTCTAACTGGAGATGCAATAGTGCTTCTATAGGAAAGAGCTTCTTCTGGAAGAGCTGCTGCGTCTGTTTAAAGGACATGACTGTTCCCCCTCCTTTGTGGTTTGCCTTAAGTTTTTTAAGCTTACAGCAGTGGCTGCTTTATGTGCATTAGCAAACATAATCCATTTCCCTATTTAGCAAAGAAACATGTATTTGCTTGAGTTTTGAGGCAAAATCTTGTTATATATCCAAGGCTTGTCTGGACCTTCCTTTGTAGCCTGAGCTGGCATCAAACTACCCATCCTCCTGCCTCAGTGTTAGGATTACTGGTGTGGCCCACTGTACCCAGCTGAACAAAAGGTTTTAGCCAGATCTTTTCTAACACTACCATTGCCTTATTTTGAAAGCTGAATGAGTACATATTAAAAGTTTACTGACTACTTCTGAGAAAGCTGTGAGTACCTACCTTAGACACTCCTGCAGAAGAGTAAGGTGCTAGATGAGGCTGCCGTGTTCTCCTGTTGTCTACCCATCCCACAAGATAAAGAGAACAGTAGTTGAGGGGAAAAGCAAACTTTTGGGATTGTTTTAAATCCTGCGAGGAGACAGCTGCATGCTATTAGTACTAGAGCAGTGGCAGGTGTCGCTTTCTGGACAAAGACCAGCCTTTAGCTTGACTTCAGGAGCATCTACCGTGCAGTACAGTGGTGCTAAACGCATATAGTTTTATGGCACTTATTTCTACAGCTGCCCTTTTAACTATCTGTATTGCCTTAAAATGCTATTCTTGTTCTGAATTGCTGCATCCTGAGCCATGAAATTGTTAATGGACTCCATATGATATTTCACAGAAGAACCACTCACTGAGTATTAGCTCTCCTATCTGCAGTGAGGTTAAGTAGGAAAGAAACAGCTTCAACTCAGTGTAAACTGTTTTCTATATACAAACAAATGCTGTGCGGTTCATAAAAGGCCAGTATGAAAGGAAGAGGGGAAACTGCTTTCAGAACAAAGAAACTACATACACACTTCACTGAATCTTTATGAGGGAAGTGTGTAGTTCATTTGTGTATTGGCAGCCAGCCTTAGTATAGACCTGTCACCTTTGTTAAAAGATGAGACAGGCTAGAGGGACTTGAAGGGGCTATGCTATTATCAACTGGATTTCTCCTGTGTCTTCTGTACCTTTCCTTGAGCCATCAGCAAGTTGCATATGGTCTCCTGTAGATATCACGTTTTTAGCAGAGACACTTCTTAGAGTATGAGGCTGTATGCAAATCCACTCTGGCCTTAATGTTACTGTGTAGAATATATGAAAAGATTATATAAAAACACAGTCATTTTTATATCCAGTAGTTATAGCCATCCTAAGACATCAGAATCACTTGGGATAGATTAGATAATAGACTATAAATGAATTTTAAAAAGCACACACAGTCTACAGAGACAAAAATCAGATATGAAGTAAAATGGTTACAATAAGTCAGATGCAGGAATACAAACGATTCAGTAAAATACAACTTGATATGAGCAGATAGACTTCTAATGTTTCTTGGATTCAGGAGAGTTGGGAACCATGAGACATCATTACCAATCATAGCTGAGCATGTACAAGAATTAAAGTCTTTGATATTCCCAGGCACTGTCAGTAGGCAAAACTCTACGGTTTGTAACCATTGTTTGCTTCTAATAGTTCAGAGCTACCCAGCCTGTAATGAGAAATATTAAAAAGTGCAGGACACACTGACAGTGATACCTGTTTCAGGAGCTGGGGGCAGGGATGGAAATGAAGTGAGTTCTAATTTAAGCTTCTTGTTATCATCAAAAACTATGCACTAAGTGCCTCCCCGTATGATGCTGTGCTTGAAAGCTTACTTCATTGTTTGTGTATATGAGAGAAGTAAGTGGCTCTCCTGATATCTTCAGGGGCAGTGATGGTGTCTATCAGTCACTTAAAGAATTAACCCTTCACCATCCTGCTTTGTGTGCATCTGTGAAGGCAAGCAAGTGCTCAGAGCCCACAGTGAGCCTGGATGAGTCTAAGTAACCTGGCTAAGCTTAAGTGAGGGTATAGGCAGCAAATGAGTGCTTTCCACCCTCCTTTTCTTGTGACTGTTGAGGCACACTTGTATGTAAGTAGGTAACTAATACATTATGGAAGTTAATGAAAAGCACATTAAAATTTTTAATACCTATACATTAACAACTTCTTAAGTTACCCTCTCTTGTCCTAATAGTAATTCTACAACTCATTAGCTGTAAGCTTGTTCTAACCATTTTTCTTGCTGGGTAAGTCAGTTCAGTGACTAATATAAAGAGTTTAATTTTTGTTAGCAATACACCAATACAGTAATAGGATTTTAAATAAAGAGGCTATTAAGAAAATTCTAAAACCTGACATTACCTATGTCAGGCTATCTGTGATCCTGAGCTTCTAGCTTCCCTTCCTTCTGTTTGTAGTAGTATATATTCCAGGGAGACACTGAGTGTCTTTTAGTAATTTGTAGGTATTGTAAAAATCAAGGGAGAAAAAGTCATGCCGTAAGGACTTTTTTCTTACATATGTATGTCAAGGGACAATTGGTGGAACTTTCTAGAATATATTGCCTAAATTTTAAATGTATCAGAATTTGGAAGACAGAGAATAAGAAAGACCTCTAAAAAATAGTCATTAGCTTACTCATGTTAGATTTTTCACTAGAGAAATGTTTTTAACGAAGAATTAACTCTTTAGCATTAGTTTGTAAATACTTGCTTATGATATAATCTTGCCTTGCTCAGAGCATTTAATTATGGTCAAATGGAAAAAAAAAGACTCACATCTAATGACCATTAGCAATTAGCTAGGCTTTGAGCTAGCTAACAAGCGTAGTTATTTCCCTGGGTACAGGATTTAGAGAGTGCTTGGGGAATGTAGGTTTTAAATACCTGGTTGGATTTGCAGTTTCACACTATCCCACTGGTGAGTTTACAGTTCTGAGGGCTGTGTCTGCTATTCTGCTATAAGAATACACACAGCTCATGTCATCATTTTTTACAACGTACTTTTGTGTTAGCTTGGGCTTAATTATTTTTAATTCTGGTTTTTTTTTTTTCAGGCAAATAAGAAATTGAAGTTGGAAAACGGTGGCCTACTGAGGGAGAACTTACGGCTGAAGGCTGAAGTTGACAACAGATCTCCTCAAAAGTATGTGTGTCACAGAGTTCGGTCACTGCTTGTCAGTGCTTTTAAGGTGGCTCTCTGATGGGTCGTGGTTCCCATCTGACTCTTCACTCAGGAAAGCTGACTGTTTCTGAGCATCGAGTGTGAGTCTTAGATTCATTGGAGGCTAATATAAAAGAAAGGATCTCATTCCTTACTCTTTTCTGACTTTGATGTATAGAAATATTGTTTTATTTTACCTAAGACAAATGAGCCTTCACTTGGTTTTCCATATAACTATTTAATAGTACTGATCAATACTGAGATAAAACAGGGCCCCGGGCTGTTTGCTGATGTCATCTTGGTCATGTGATGACCTTTGCCTGGTACAGTAGGGCATGACAGGTTACTCCTAAGAAGTGAGAGGATGGAGGTGCAGAGAGAGATAGGCTCACTCATCCAGTCTGCCCAGGAGTAAGTGGTACATTAGCGTTTGAACTCGGGATGCTACTCCACACTCTGAGCACTTAGCAACTATTGGAAAAGGCTTGCCCGAAATAAAATGAGGCTTTGCCACCAAATCTTGGGCTGATTATTTGAAACTACAGTGAAGTGAATAAATTCTTCTCTTATGATGGTAGAGTCTTCACTCTGTGTTAGAGGATACCAAGTTGTAGGTTTTGACCTACTTAGCATTTAATTTGTTCATCTCAAGTGATAAGAAAGAGTTAGGAGTTAAGGGGTGAAGACAGAAGAGAGAACATTCTTGGAGTCGTCACCCTCCTCCACCACCCTGAGGAAACAGGGGACAGTATGGCAGCAGGGTGTGCATCAGAATATCACCATTTCTTCACTGCTGAGCAGTCTGTGTCCTTCTTCTATTGTCAGAAGACAAAGGCAGAAATGAGTAAATAGTGGAAGTATAGACTACCAGAGAAGAAGCAGCCCATGGTGAAAGGAGTGTGGTTTAGGGAATGGTAAAAGTAAATCCTCCTTACACAAAGGGAGGTTACAAACCACTGGCTAAAAAAGAAAGGATAGCTTTTACTCCTAAGTGTTCCCTCTTCCCATCCTCTCTAGCCTTGTTTTTCTTTCCTGCCAGGTAATGTCTTACTTTGACAAATTAGTGAAATAAACTAAGAAATTGTTGTTTTTCTGTGGGCTTGAATCCTTGTTCCTGGCAGCTCGCCCTGCCAGTCACAGTCGTGCTTATCCATTAGCCCTTTCCCACAGCATGCTGAATGGAGCAAAAGCTATTTTGTTTGTAGCTTTTATTTCTTGAAAAGTTGCCCACTAGATTTCAAATTCAGTGCCAGCCACAAAGATGTATGCTTTTAAATATCCATGACTTCTACCAAATAAATAACTGGAGACTCTCACCTGAAAAGTCTGGCCTCCTGTCTACTTGCAAACAAGCAGCCACACATCTGAGTCCAGGCTCGCTGCAGTATTCACATCTTTAACTTGTGTTCCTTCTCTTCATGGGAAGGGAACATTTGCACTTGAAACAGGGATTTGAACTGACCCCTATTCCAGATCAATTTGTAAAGCATTGAGGTATTAAATGCATTGCATTTGATTTATGACTGTGTTTACTTTGCATCAGTAAATCCTGGTGAGATTCAGGGAGAAGCCAATCACAGCTGAAAATCTCCACATTGGTTCACTGCAGAGGACTTGTGTTTGTGTAGAAACAAATACGAAATTTTGAGAATTTAAAAGTAAATGCAGACATATAGAAATCAGCCATTCATTTCCTTCCCTGCATAGGAAGTGCCTTGACCAATTAGTTTTCCCTATTTAGTTGGTTAAGTGTGAGTGTAAAGGAATACTTCTTACTCTGTACACAAGGTGGTGTTCTCTGATATAGCGTACAACCTGAGCAGACTATTAAGACTGTACTTAAATTTAGACACTAAAGTAAAAATAAGAACTGGAAGGTATTTCAGTCATCTCAGGCTTCCATAACAATATATATTTACAGTTTGACTTAAATATTAAATAATAGGTTTATTTTTTTCACAAGTGCTGAAGGCTGAGAACAAGGCTGGGCACGTTCATTTCTGATACATGCTCTCTTTTTCTGACTTACCAACAGCAACTTTTTTATTATAACTTCAAATAGTAAAGGGAGTAGAATAAAAGGGTTTTTTAATCTCTATTCTTTTAAAAACATGATTCTGTAGGGTTAGGTCTTACCATTGTGACCTGATTTAACTTTAATTACCTCTTAAATGCCTTGTTTCCAGATATAATCGCACTGAGATGGGGTTTCACATAATAGCCTGTGACTGAGTCCCCCTATTGAAAACAAGGGGAACTGGAGCATTTATATTGGTTTCAAGTGACATTGTTTTCTCTTTTATAGTGGAAGTCTGAGTTATCATGTATCTTTCCCGCTATGTCTTTCTGTTCTACCTTTGGTGCTCTATCTAATCTTATCTAATAATATATAAGCTCAAAGTGTGTATTTCTCTCTCCCTGTTGAGCATGTGGACATTCTAATAAGCATGTTCTTTAAGGCTTCAATATCATCCACTCTAATTTTTGTCAGAAATTTGTTGTATCTTAATTAGGTGTTTAGAAAATGTAGTCCCTTCTTTCCCTCTTTAGCATTTGTTTCCCTGCTGAGTTCCTTACACTAGGGGTAGGCTAGCTAAAGACATGTCCAGAACTTAATGGGTGGTGACATGCCTTTGAGTGTCAAAGCCTAACATCTGAAAAAAACTCAACACCAGAAATATTTCAAGTGTTTCTTTTTATTTACCGTTACAGGAGAGGCTTTAAGCTGTATAAAATGCATGCCCTGCCAAACCCTGACATACTAGGCTCTTCTGCTGGAACTTCTGTCTTGTGTTTTCCTTCTTGGCTCTTATCACAGCTAATCATAATTGTGTCATGTCTTTTTTTCTGTTTAAACAAAAACTGCAACTTTCCTATTCAAAACTGTATCTACTACATGTTATAGAACTTGATCTCCTGGTTTTAGTATGTGTCTGTTGAGTAAATTGAAGAAACACATAGCCCCTGAGACTGTAAGTATAATGATTGTTTAAGAAAGTGCTTTCCTTGGACTTTTGGGCTACTATAGCAAAATACCCATATATTGAGTGGTTTACAAATCATAAACATTTGCTTCTCATGGGAAAGAGGACAAGGGACATCCCTAGGCCTTTTTTTTGGGGGGGGGGTGGCACTAATGCCATTCATGAACTAAAGGCCTCCGGTGGCCACCTCACCTTTATTATCAAGGCCTCATCCCTTTCTCCAGTTGTAGGCATACATTACATTAGTGCTCAAGAATGAAGGCTTTCTTCTCAAGATCATTCATATAATTGTATGCCTCTACATTATAATCTTCATCGACACACTTCCGGGCCAGCAAAACATTGCAACATCTGCTTCTCCAAGTTCAAAGAGTTGGATCCTTATTGTTGTAGTTGTTGTTGTTTTGGAATTTTGTTTGCTTGGCTGTTTTGTTTTTCAAGACAAAGTTTCTCTGTGTTAGACCTAGCTGTCCTCAAATTCACTCTGTAGCCCAACCTGGCTTTGAACTTAGAGATCTGCCTGCCTCTGCCTCCCAAGTGCTGGGGAGAGAGGTGTACAACACCACTGCCCAGATGAAAGACTTGTTCTTAGTCTGAGAATGTAATGAGACGTATCAAGAACCCATGAATAGTGGTATAGAATGGGAACCTGCCAAGGGAATTTAATACTGAAGTTTTCATATTTCTAAATTTCCTTGACTCCAAATACTATTCCTAAGCTGTGTCAGCAAGGATGATTGCATTTGTACTTGCTGGAATTAGGAACTCCTTAGTGACCACTTAACTCACAGAACTGTGAGATTTCTACTTACTTCATGGGGAAGTTCCTTAGTTTATCACACAGGTCCTTCCCTTACTTGTGTCGTCTCTGCTCACACCAAGTACTTATTCTAGATCCCTTTCCATCACTGTGACCAAAAGTACACGGCAGAAACAATTGAAGGGTCAAAAGATGTGTTTTGCTTTACAGTTTTGGAGATTGCAGCCCATCAGTCAGAGTTCCATGTCAGTGGGAATAGAGTAGCTCTTTATTCACATGACATGGGACAGGAAGAGGAGAGCTAGACTGGAAGGAACCAGAGTGGGTGTACCCTTCAAAAGCTCCCTCTAGGAACTTCGTGTCACAGCCAGGTCCACCTTTTAAAGGCTCTGTAGTCTTCACAGTATGTCACCAAAGAGGCAACCAAGTATTTACAACATGAGCCTCTGGGGACATACATATCCAAGGTGTGACACTCTGATGAATGATAGGATGGTAGTTTATCAGCTGCTGCTCATGCTATAATATAAAATGCGTTGAGTTCAATTTCAAAAGTCCCTACAGACTAAACCGTCTCAATTACTTAAAGCTTCAGAGTTCTGAAACAAGATCTCTTAGTTGTAACCTCTTGTAAAATCAAAACAAGTTTCATATTCCAACATACAATGGAGTAAACATTCCTTTCCAAATGAGAGGAACTGTAGAACAGCAAAGAAAGATTAGACCAGCAGTACAAACACTCAATCCAGGAGCTTAGCACCAAGATACATGGTGGCATCATCTGAGCCCACTGGGCTTTGGCCCTGTCACCTGTGGCCTGGCCTAGCCTAGCTCCACTAAAGCATCTCTAAAACCCTGGGATCTCCACTGCAAGTTGGACTTTGCCTTAAAGCTTGGCTTACAACATGCCCAAGAGATTCCTGTACAGAATCCAGCCATATACACTACCAAGCCTCAAGTATGGTTTTTATGAAATCTGGGTACAAGCCTTCAGCTCTATAAGTCTTGTATTCTATATGCCTGTAAAACAGTACCATATGAACAACACCAAGCCATTGCCAACTTAAGAAGTAGTATGGCCCCAGTGCACATGCAGCAGTCTCTGCCTGCATAGGTAAACCTGGGAAAGCATTTCACTAGGTGGCCTTAATCTTCAGCTTCCTGGTTTTAAATAATTCTAAATGCTTTTGCAGTTTTACACCCTGGGACTTTCAGTAGGAAGGGTAACACCTTTAATT